TTTAATTCAGCATCCTGTGACAATATCCTTAACACCATTAAAAATCCACATCTGCCTATCCCACCAGGTCCTTGGAAAAGACTCAATAAGTAGAAATAGTTCAGCATGATATTGAAACCCACATTTATAGATCTCAGGAGACCAGAATAGGTTTTGGATACTTAAAAGCACAGCTATCTTCTGTCTCCTGCTGTGGACCATGTTTCTTGCATTCTTTGACTTACTGTTCTCTATTGTACTGTATGCTGAATTAAAACTGCATGCTAACTTTCATTGATATAGATTCTTTCAGGGTTTTGTTCACAGGATCTTAAAATTTGATCAATATTCTTCACCCTAGATGTGCATCATTCCTCTGTTCTTTTGCTGAATAGAACACAGCGTAACACAGATGCATTATTTCACAGTTTTGGATCTTGTGCTAGTACAAGGCAAGGACTGTGTAGCTGAACCTGCGCAATATGGAAGTGAATCAGTTTATTTTGATCGTTTAGATCACATCAGAGAATAAGAATATTTTTCATCAAATGATAAACCTACCAAACAACTGAGGAGATACGGAGTGGCCATCTGAATAAGCAATGTATTTCCACTTGTCAATTCGCAGCATGTAGGTTGAAGAATTCACATTGCAGCCATGAAACTCACTCAGAATCCAAGGAGGATGGAGCCTTCTAGATAGGGCTTTGAAATATTTATTTTCTAATATCAAAGGCATCAGTGAATATCCACTGATGTTTTTGGGAATGGGGATACTTGCAATGTCTGGAAAAAAAGTGTCAATTTGATAGAAAACAATTAGAAAGCTCAAATAAGCTAAAATAAGAAACAAAACGTATAAAATTGAGAAGAGAACAGAAATTATACCATTTCAACCACTTCAACCTTTTGCTATTCTGGTAATATCACTGTGCCTCTTTTATTTATGTATATTTTATGTTCCAAATGGAAGTTAGCAGCACAGTTCTATACTTGGAGTGATAATCCATTATATTGAATAGAGCTATTTTTAATTTTCTGAACACAAGACTGACATTTAAATGTTGTTATCTCTGGTTGTCAGAAAAAATAAAGTCTATAAAGATCTCAGTTTGAGTTAATGAAATGCACCCCAAATGTATTTATTTATATGCACACAATTGCCTCTGAGTTCGTATTAATATGATCTTAACACTTATTCAAAAAAGCCATAATATTCAATTTATATTATACTTTGTTTATATGTTTTCAGAAGTTGTTTGCCAACATTGGTTCTTCTCACTGGTGTTAAATTTAATTAATTAAATGTACCCATGTTTCAATAGGTTAAAGTTTCTGAGTGATTATTACTATTCAGGTTTAAAATATGGCACACACAATCTTTTATATTCCTTATTCATGAGTCTACATAGAAATCTGCAGTGATTTTTATCTGGACAACTGAGTAAGAAAACAGAATTTTAAAGATTATTTATAATCTTGTATGTGCTTCATGCAATGTCTAAGCTGAGCTTTTCTGTGTAGCAATGGTAGGTTTTAGGCACCAAACTAGAAAGAAAAGACTTGAGTACTAGTTCCATTTTAGGCATGAAAGACGGTTTGGGAGACTTTGGGCCAATCATTTTCTCTTAGCCCAATTTACTTCACAGGATTGTTGTTGAAGGGAAAATGGGAGGAAAAAGGTGCGTTAGGTATGTTTTCCAATTTGAGTTATTTATAAAAGTAATAAAAGCAGGGTAAAACAAATGAATATACATATGTGTGAATGAATGAATATATTCTGCTGCTTGGAGAGTTGATTTACAACAGACATTTTTTGTCTCTGTCTCTCATACAAAAAATAGTTTGACTAAACAGCTATTGTACTCATTTTAATATCCATTTACAATTTTGAAAAGTTCAGTTCAGTTCAGTTCAAGGAACATACTTACTATGAAATTACTCAGAACTGAAGTTACTTCAGAAACTCTTTTAGGGTGCTGACACTAAATGCATTAGCATGATTATATATTTAAGGTATGAACTGGAGCTTACATGTCAAAGAATATATTATAAAACAAAACAGTATGCATAGAGAAAGCATATATTAAGGGAAATAATTATGTTTTTTAACAATCGGGATGGCTGAGAAAGTAACATTAATCATTTGTTTTATTACTCATCTAAATAAATTAAACCCTGTTGATTTGTGTTTTTATTTTTAACTTTTTGATTACAGGATAGAGCAATCGGGAGAACATATGGGGATGAACAGAACAGGAAGGACAGCAATTTAAAAATATAAACTTCAGGAACGTTGTGGAAAAAACACAGTTGGAACCAAAAATTGCTAACTAAATTGGAGGGCTGAGGATTTGAAAAAGTTATGGTTCACCTGATTAGTAAAGCTCCTGTAATAATGTAGTTTTGAAAGGACTATTTTGCAGCCTGAGAAAGCATTCTCAATTTTTGAACAATTCTTAAATCATTACTTCAAAAGTGTCAATCTATTGAAAAGGCCTAACCCTTATTCCAAATTACAGNACTAACAGAAGCAAACCTTTAATTCAAAATTTTGTTTAACTATAAAATAGAAATCATTTCATGAGGGTGGAGTAGATAGGAACAGTTCATCACAATAGTTACCGGTATTCATTTTAAGAATACAAAAATCTGAAACAATTTTTACAATAAGCCCTTGACCATGAGACACTTTGTTTTCATGCTGAAAGGTAGAACACCTGAAAAGCATTTAATAATTAAAAGAAAAACAATAAAATGTTCGAGATTTCATCAATATATAGATATAGACCATTCTTTATTCACCTTATTGAATGATGTCCAGAAGTATAATCTAGTTTTCCGTATTTTTGGGTATAGTAGCCTTTTCTCCCCATAAGGTCCATCCATGTTGTATAATTTGGATCTAAGCCCTTGAAGTTGTTCCAGGACTCAGTTAAGTGAGTGAAAAGGCCACTCCACATAGCTAAAAAAAATATTAACAATATGTTTATACAACTCTCTTCTTCACTTGATACAATTTGGAAGGCAGCCCTTAAGGCAAAAACTTGTGACTTTGAAGATAATTTCTTGCTATTTCTATGGAACAATACTGTGCAAATTCCAGAATTCCTATAACATGAAAATCCATCAAAATATTATCTCTCTGCTTTTTCAAGGAAGGACTATATTTTCTTTATAGGTCCTTTATTTTTATTCTGCCATTTACCCAAATATTGCCTTTTATGTATAATTTTACCTGCACGTGATGGACAGCAAATGGGAGAATTGGTGTAGGCATTAAGAAAGAGACTGCCTTGCCTCCTCATGAGATTTATAAAAGGCAAAACTACTGTTTCATTTTCTGGGGAAAATGTTAGCCTTCCATCCTGCAGGAAAAGAAAAAAAATGACTGTGGGAATGCATTTGGAGATTAAGGAGTATTACAAATCAGTGGCTAAAATGTACAATTTATGTATTGTATTTATTTTGAAAATTGGATACTTTAGATATGTTTTTAGGGAGGTTTAGGTTTAGGTTTGTTTTATTTATATGCCGCCCTATTCCCTGCGGGACTCAGGGCGGCGAACAACCCAAGGAGAGAAGAGAGCCAGTTTTATGTAAGGGTTAGGGCACCAGGGTAGAAACTGGGAGATGGTGAGTTCTAGTCCTGCCTTAGGCACAAAGCCAGTCAGGTAATTCATTGTCATTCACTGTCTCTCAGCCTAGGAAAGAGGCAATGGCAAATCACTTCAGAAATGTTGCCAAGAAAATGCAGGGATTGAGCCTTGCAATTTCCAGAAATCAGTACTGACTCAAAGGAACAATAACTTTACCATCATTTAACCCTAACAGATGAAAATTTTAAAATTTCTTGCTAGAGTTACTTAAAATGATATTACAGAAAGAATTCTAATTTAGAATATTTTCTGTCTTGCCTATCTTCTCTAGATATTAGAACTGATAAATATCCTGTCCTTTTAGCCTCAAGTTCTGATAATTTAATGAATCCAGTCACTCATTTGTTCCAGCTGAGAAAGACTCTATAATTTTCATAAATTTTTTACATAGTCTACACTGTGTTTTAAACATGGTGTATTTATGGAGATTCTCAATCATCCAGGTCAAGGTTGTCCCAAAGGTGCTTTTTCCAAAAGGCAACTGGATTTTCTTGGATTTTTTTAAAAAGTGTTTCGCAGTGAAATGTTTTCAAAGAAAAAAAACCAAGAAAGTCCAGTTGCCTTTTGGAAAAAGCACCTTTGGATTAAACATGGTGGATTTAAAAGCTTTTGTCTTTCAGTGGGATTCCACCAGACCAATCTGACATGTGCTTAGGCAACTGTCATTTTTGCCAGGAACTTCATGGTTAAAAGCCTAATAGTCATGCCTATTTTTTTTCTTAATCCAAATCACCTTCTCTCCATTATTTAAAAACACAGAAAAACTCGCAAAATCTCTCTCAACCTATTATTTTATTAATTGTGTTGGTAGGGCCTCTAGTGTACACAAAGAACTGTTCGAAATGTTTGCACCACTGGTTTCTTCATTCTCTCTATTCCTATGATTCCATTTGGGAGGACAGTTGTCTTGGAAAGGCATACTGTTGCTTTATGTAATTTTAGTGGAAGTACATTCCATTGGTTCAATGGGGAAATGTTCATAGGATTGCAGCTTACACAGTGAATATTCTCAAAACTATTTGGATAAAATCTAGCTACTGAGTTCACATTCAGTGCTAATGGTGCATTAGGTTTCTCCTTCAAATTGGAAGAGACAAAAAGGTGAAGCAGCCAAGAGACGTACAGTAGGCCAACTCGCCGGAACATGGGACTCTCTGTCTGATGTGGAATTACATTTCTGCCAATCTGATTATGGCCAAAGGAATTACACTCCCAAAATATCTGGAGCGCCTCACACTGGGGAAGCCTGCAGTAGCTGAAAATGAGTCTTGTGTTATCACCCCTTCTTTCCCTTCAATCAGAGTCAGTAGAAAAAAAATTGTCTAAATGGCCTATTAAAAGAAAATGAAATACTTACAAAAGAATCGCACATCACCAGCACAACATTAGGCTTTCCACAAGTACCACAGCTCTCGTTAGGGCGGAGCAAAGGCTTCGCCTTTACAGATCCCCAAGAAACAAATCGGGCCAACAGAAGGCACAAGCTAACTATTGCATAGTTTGTAAAGCAGGCTTTCCCCATTTCTTCCTTAAGATCAGAGCAAAGGCTCCAGCCCCTTCCTTTCAGAATTCCTTCTCGGAACCGTTTTCACTTCGCACAGCCAGGCAGACGATCTGATCTTCACTTGACTGAGCCTGCCGGATGATTCATTCCACAGCTGGGAAGCTCGTGATCGACAAATAACACTATTATGCCTGGAAAAGGAAATCAAAACGGCTGCTCTACGGAAAATTACCACTCCCATGATACATCTTGCGAAAATTTAGTTATTAAAGCCTTTGGTAACTGAATGTGCTAAAGCGGTCTTCTCGTCCAAAGTTAGGAATGTGCAAAAAGCTCATCCTTTTTTATCATGCGAAAGGGGGTGGGGGACGGACCGGGAAATTAAATAAATAAAAAATGAGATGTGAACCATAGTGTAACCATGCGACGAAGGAAGATACAATGTAAATACTGGACCACGGACCACTGTCTGTGAAGTGAGGAACTAGCCATAGGTTATAATAAAATTAGGAAATCAGAATACTTGTGCAGTAATGTCGTTCTGTCCTCGCCACCTAATGATAGGATCCTATGCAAGAATACATGCTTCGTGTAGAAAAAAAAACCGAACTCAATCCTCAAGG